ACAAGCTGGATTTAGACCAGATCGTAGTTGTGTAGACCATGTATATACGTTGAGTAAAATCATCCAAGGTAGGAAAGACGCCGGGCGTACGACATACTGTTTCTTCCTCGATATACAAAAAGCCTACGACACCGTATGGCGCAATGGATTGTGGAAAAAGATGTGGGACATCGGCATCCGGGGGAAAATGTGGAGGATGTTGAAAAAGATGACAGAATGCACAAGAAGTGCGGTGATGTTGGATGGGGAAATTTCGAAGTACGTGGATATACTCCAAGGAGTCGCACAGGGCTGTACGATGTCACCCACTCTTTTAAGATTTACATCAACGATTTGATAAGGGCGGTTGAAGCAGTAAGACAGGGAGTCCAAGTAGAGGGAAAGAGTGTGTCCGGACTGATGTTTGCAGATGATTTCGTGGGGGTATCCGAAACACCAGAAGGGTTGCAAGAACAAATAGATGCGGCGGTAGGATACACCCGAAAATGGAGACTGTCGGCGAACGTAGGAAAATGCGCAGTAGTGGTCTGTAACGAAGATAAGAAAAATCCCGTAGAATTCAAATGGAAATGGGGGGAGGAAGAACTACCGGTAGTAGACAAGTATACGTACCTGGGAGTAGAGATTTCGAAGGAGTGCTCATGGGACGCACACATAGCGAAGTTGATTGGGAAGGGTAAAGCTCAGATAGGCAAGATGGATGAGATCCTTACGGACCCACACCTAGACACTAGGATTAAGAGGTGTATTCTCTTGAAGGTGATTGTACCTAAGCTAGAGTATGCAGGAGAGATATGGGAAGGTAACGAAATGGCCGTCAAGCAGCTGGAAACGGTGCAGATGGCAGCGGCCAAGAAAATACTAGGATGTTCAAGCACAACGAGCAACACTGTATTGAGAGCAGAATTGGGAATGTACTCTCTTAAAACAAAGAGAGACATGCAGAAGTTGAAGTGGCAGTACAAGGTAAGTAGAATGTCGGACGATAGACTACCAGCCATGGTTGACGAGGCAGCTTGGGGAAAAGCGACTCCAGGGAAGAAGGGAATCAGATGGGACAAGGTGGTAGAGAAGGTTTGGAAGGAGATAGGAGACGAGGAGGAGACGTTGGACACGGAAGGGTTCGGGGGGTTCAAGACGAAAGTCAAGGAGATGCTAGAGAGTAGGGAGGAGACAACCCTTCGGAAGAAGGTACGAAGCGAAGACCACTTGGAGATATACGGGAAGTTGAAAGAAGGGATAGGGATGAAGAAGTACTTGGACGGCCCCATGGACTATGCGAAAAAGCTGAAATTGCAATTTCGAGTAGGCGATCTGGACTTGCCAGAACGGAGGAAGAGGTGTACCAGCCGTAGGAGAGAGGAAGAGGAGGATAGACACACATGTCCATGTGGCAAATCGGAGGAGAGTAGACCCCACATAGTTGGGGAGTGTGAGTTGTACAGGAAGGAAAGAGAGGATCTCGAGGAGGAAATGAGACAGAGAGGGTGTGACATGGACAAGTTTGGGTAAATTAGACAACAGCGAAAAAACGATCGCGATAATTGGGGATAGATGGTGGGCACAAGAGGCCCTAGAGGACGGGGATAAGATGTGCAAGAAATTTTTATGGAGTTTGTGGCAGAAACGTAAAGAGCTCCCAAATGTTGGTGGTGTCTCTAGTAGGTGTAGGAACGGTGCTCCGTCTCGAAAGGGACGCGTGGTCAATGGTCAAATGACTACGGCAAGCAACAAATGAGTACGCCCCCCCCCCCCCCCCCCCGGCCAACGCATGATTTTTGTCGACCCTCGCTCCCGCTTCCCATTCCCCCAGGGTACTGCCCAGATATTGTGAGCTTCAACACGGCCATCGATGCGTGTGCGTCCCGCGAAAAATGGCAGGAGGCGGTGGAGTTGCTTGAGGTTGACATGCCAGCCGCCAAGGTGATGCTTTGGCTTGCGGGGCTCGGGACGGCGGCAAGCAAAGAAAAGGGGGTGTAGAGTAGTGGCAACGGTTGCACTACGTTGAACATTATGAAAGTGGTGTTTATGACGCAGCGAAAAGGGCGTGTACGATACGGCTGATCGATCCGAATGACCCGTTGTTTTCGCTTATGCTTTTTGGTTCTGCAGCAGTCACGGATGGTGGTTTTCCAACAACTGATCACGTCCGAGAACTTGAAACGCTTCTGCTCAAAACGATTTTCGGCGAGAAAAGCTCAACCGCATTAAGCAGGGAGACCTTCTCAGCTTTTTATGCCGTACGTTGGATGCGTCCGTCGCTCATCTCCCATTTTTCTTCCAAGCGATGACCCAATTCATGACGCCGCTGGTTTTCGGGAGTGATGCCGTTTGCTCGATGTGCTTGACGAAGACGCGATCAGAGCGCTATGCGCGAGACTCATTCATACCGTCGACCGTTCTGTCGCTCTCTGTAGCTCCCTGTAGCCTCCATGGGTATTTGAATCTGCCTTCTCTCTCTCTCTCTCTCTCTCTCTCTCTCTCTCTTCTCTCCCCATTTGCTTTGTTCCTTTAGGTGAAGCCCGACGTCATTTCCTTCACGTCGGCCATTCACGCGTGCGCTGGTCCGACAGGGAACTGGGAAAAAGCTTACCAGGTACGGTTTGAAGTGTACTCATGCAGTAGACCGGGGATAGTACTGTTCCTTGGCCCCTTATTCTCGTCCAAAGCGCTGGCGTGTCGCGATGGCCGGTGGTAGACCCCGCACTCTGTCGAAACCAAAATGTTCACCACTTTCTTGTGCACGGCGGTGAGCAGCCAGTAGTTGACTGCCATGGCTATCCCAAGGTGGAAGCGAGCGGGCGGACTCTACGCGGTACTAGTCGAGCATTGCGAGCTTGGATCCAGGGTGTGATGGTGAATCTGGTTCGATCGCGTTCGAGCTGGTTTGTTCGGCTGTCTGTGCATGCTGCCGTGGATTGACCCATCCAGGAATTGGATCCAGCAGCACTCTTTTGATTTTTTTAAATCATGGCACTCGAATTGATGCGAACTTTCTTCGCCACCCGCGTTCTGAACCGAAGCGTGTGCTACAGTACGCGGCGTCTGCCCACCTACCGAGTCCATCCCTCCCAATACGAGTCAGACACCCTTCTCCTACACGCTTCTGCTCAAGCGACAGCAAACGCCGAATTTTCTCGTCCCGATCGGGCAAGACTGCTACGCTTTAATCCATTGGTTGGACCAATTGTCTACTGTCAGTGATGGTACAAGTTCAGCATCTCCCCCCATGCTTCCCCGCCCGCCCTCTCCATCCCACGGGCATGCTATTTTGCCGCAACTCGTTCCCGTCCAAAGCTGTTGGACGCCATGTGGCAGGACCCCGAAGGAGCGAAGCCCAGCAAGCACACGTACGACCTCGTCATACAGGCGTGCGGCCACGGCGGAGAGTGGGAGCTCGGGGTGACCCTGATAGACGACATGCGCGACCTGGGCATCAAACCGGACGCGCAGACGTTCAACATGGCCGTCACGGCCTGCGCGCGGTCGGGGGAAAGGCTCGCCGCGGAGACGCTCGTGGCGAACATGCGGAACGCCCGCGTGGTCCCCGACGAGTTCACCTACGCCTCCCTCGTGGCAGCGTGAGTGCATAGTTGGTTCCAGTTTTCGTCTCGTGCCGTATGGTTGGACGGGGGGGTGGCGTGGCGTACCCATGGAGGGCGACAACGTGTTCGGGGAAGAACAGGGCATCCGTTAATAATGCTCGGGCTGATGTTGCGTATATCAATAAATTGACGTCTTATGAGGTTCAACGTCCAATCATCGTTCCACGTTGCTCTCGTAGGATGTCTGAACTAGATGCCAGCCGTGTTCTTTCCCCATAATTCTTTTCCCGGAATCATCCACACATTTCACAGCGGGCACAAAGACATCTCGGCTGTGTGCCCCCTTCCCTTGTCGTTCCCTCTCCGAAGAAAGAAAGGTGCTTTCGCTCTCCTTTACGTGCTTGTCCACCCCTCCCTCCCTCCCGTTTGGAACAGTTGCGGCCGCGCCAAGGAGTGGAAGCGAGCGACCGAAATATTCGACCAGGCGCGGTATGTGCACCGCATCCGCCCCTCGCTGCAGATCTACGGCGCCCTCCTCGGCGCGCTCGCCGAGGGGGAGCGGTGGGCGGACGTACTGGTGTACCTCGACAGGATGGTGGCCGACGGCGTCGCTCGCGACGCGGCGGCGACAAACACCGCCGTTCTCGCCGCCGCCGAGCTCGGGGACGGTCGTCGGGCGCTCTCTCTACTGGAAGGAGGAGAAGGGTCGCAGCAGCGAGGAGGACGGCAAAGGGGAGTGGCGAGGGATGTGGTTGGCGAGGAAGGCGGCGGCAGCGATAACCGACAGCTTTGCGATGGCCTACAACGACGACGTCGACCGGCGGGAGTCGACGAGGGGGATGGTATCCGCGGCGTAGTGCTCGGACAGGGGGAACTTGAGGGAGAGCCAGAGGCGTTGCTCGAGAGGAGGCAACGTGCAGCGACTGCAGGCGGAGAGAAGAGACACGGGGAAGAGTCAGAAGTACGAGCGCGGACGAGAATCAGGTCTTCTTCGGAAGCAGCGGGAGAACGTCAAGGGGTTGTTGCCGATGAAAATGGTGTTGACGAAGAGGCTCAAGATGGGACGAGAAGGACAGAGAGAGACAGCGACTCGGTGGACGATGGTGTAGGAGGAGGTTGGGAAGGGGTAACGCCCGGCCTGCTGAACTCAGTGCTTCGTGCTCTGGACGAGCAGGACGAGGACTCCGCCGTCCTCGAGGCCGTGAAACGTGGGCGAGAGAAAGGAATTTTGCTGAACCAGAGCATTTACAGGTGATGGCTGAATCTCCAAACCCTATGGGGCAGCATCGTGTCGAACCCAACCTGCCGCATTCCCGTAAGAACAATGCTCTCTTTGGAATCCTTCTTGCTTTCTGTGACGGTGCATACATGTTCGGCGAATCGATCGAAACAGGAACGATGTCGCTGAGGGGCAGCTTTTTCACTTTCATTGCTACGTAGCACGGAGACGTCGCTCCCGAGTCCATTTTGTATTGTCCACGCCCGCAGCTTTACTGTTCGTGAACGGGATTGACACCTACCACAGACTTGGACGGGCGTGGTGTATGCAAAAACGTTCACGACGTCCACTACCAACACGTGTATACACACCGCCCTTTCCACCCTTCCGGCATTTGCCACCCACGCTCCTGTGCAGGTGCGCCCTGAAGGCGTGCGGAAATCTGGGAGACTACCAGCAGGCGAACGATATTTTGGTGCGAATGGCGGAGGAAAGTCTAACGCCGGACATCGTGCACTGGAACCACGCTCTCCGCGCCTCGGCTGCGTGCGCTCGGTGGCAAGAGACACGGTTGCGCTTGCAGGAGATGGAGGTATGTGAAGGCAAATGGTTGTCGGACGTTTTCTAAGGTGCAAGAAGGACTCTGAAGCCGTCGTCAGCGTTACGTGCGAAGATGTTTCAAGGCCCTCGACTCTCCCCGGGCAGACTTGCATGCAACAGAAACGGAGTAGTAAGTACCCGCGGTGTTTCTAACGCTACACCTGGCGCACATCAGGCTTGCACGACTCACTGCTGCTCTAGGCCACTCTTCAGTTGAATTGTGCGCGTGGTTGCTGGGTGCGAGTCGAAACAACCACTTGCGGTCGATGTTCAAGCTTTGGCGAGCAAGTTACGTGGGAGGCGCTGGAGCTAGTCCGTGGGCTCTCGGACGTGGGAACCTTCGCTGTACTCGTCGCACAGCGTTAACGGACTTGAGCAATTGCTGGTGCTTGTTTATGATGGGTCTCAAATCTCCCGCAAAGCGTTTGAACGACGCCCCCCTCGCCTACTTCGACCACTTTTTTTTGCCAATTTCATTCCCCAAACACGAAGACCTTCGGGTCAACCCCGGACGAGTTCAGTTACAGCATGGCGCTCAAGGCATGCAGCGCTGGCCTGTGGTCCGGCGACTCTTGGTGCGATAGCCGTGGGTGGGGGGCAGAGGAAGATACATCCTCTTCCCGACGTAGGAACGCTTTGAGCAGCGAGGGTCAGCTGGATAGCAGCGGAGACAAGCAAGAACCCAAGGTGCCGCAAGCCTGTAGAGGAAAAAGCGCTATCGAGGTGAGGATGTCTCGGCGGATGACGGTGCGCGGGTACGTCCAACGACAGAAATGGCACGTCCGTTCGTGCGTCGTGCACGGGGTTCAACGCCGTCAAGCCACAGCGGTCTGTAGATTGATGTGTGGCTGGATAAGGGAAGCCCTGCAGACCATGTGGAGGTCGGCACCTGCCGTGTGCGGCTCTGGACACAGTGCGAACCTAGGCTCTTGCTTGCTATTGTGGACCTACCTCGAACTCTAGGTTGATCATCATACTTCCTCTAGCCGTGTTTCGTTCACTTTTGCTGGTGTGTTCCCTGTCGTCTTCCATCACCCGCCTGCTGCCTGCTACCGTCACCGCAGTTGCTGCAAGAAATGAAACAGAGAGGCGTTCGGCTGAGCGCGCACGCTTACACTCTTGCCATGGCGGCGTGTCTCGAGGGTCACCGCGACAGACACCCAGAACTCGAAGCCGGGCTTGACAAGGAAAAGGGTCCGCCCTCGGCGGATCTTCGGCTTGCAGAGGCTACGCTCTTGCTTTTCGATCGGTTGGTGGCGGCGGGCGAAACACCTACCGCAGATGCGTACGCCCATGCGTTGAAGGTATAACGACAAGAAAGAAATGCAGCGGTGTTTGATTGGAATGGAAAACCCGCACCAAACAAGTTGGACCGGGACACACATAGGCTGATTTTCATCTGTTGAACAGCTGCTGGAGTACATGAGAGGAGGGTCACATTTGTCATTTTGTCGCGTGCTTCGCTCTTTCCTAGCTGCTTGGTTGATGCCCCAACTCCCATTCGTGAATATTCAAGCCTCGGCGGAGCAAAGTATGATTTTCAAGGCCTCAATCGTTCTGCCCCCCCCCTACCCTCTCTCTACCTCTTTCAAACTCTTTAAGGCCAAGTACGTCCATGCCCCTCTCTCGCCGATGAATGCAACATAACCGCAGGCATGTGCACGCACGGCGAATCCTCAGCGGGCGAACGCCCTGTTCTGGGTCATGCTGGACGACGCCTCTCCTCCTGCCGCCGTGCGAACCTCCTCCACCGCGTCCTCCCTGTGCAACGGCGCCTCTGGCGATCACGTTGCCAGTGGCCAACGGCGACATTCGCCGCCGCCGTCCCCGCCGCAGCCCCGCCCGGAGGTGCGCCCGTGGCACCTGGCGAGCACCATCGTGGCCTACGACGCGGCAGGGGACTGGGCCGGCGCCAAGCAGCTGTGGGACGAGGCATTACGCCGGGGAGTGTCTCCGCGGAGCCCCGGATACGACGCTGCCGTCTCGGCCGCCTTGCGGGCGGGAGACACTGCTGCCGCGCGCCAACTTGTTGAGGAGGCGCGAGGGCTGAGGCTCGAGCTCGCTCGGGGCTACGAGGGAGGTTGAGAGGTCTGCATTATAGTTGTAGAAACGAGATACAGGGGCATGACAGGTTTATCGGCGTCCCCTCCGGAAGGGTGCAGTGGTGGTGCACAGCACAGGAGCTTCTTGTTGCAGTGAAAAAGGTGGAGCTGAGGCTCTAAACCACACACCATCCCGTAACAAAGTAGCTAGGGACGGCTTGTCGAACGTGTATGAAAGGGAGGCCTGAGGAGGGCTCGGGAAGAACGATATTGACTTGTGTCGTGGTAAGCGGGTGTAGATATCAGTTGTAAGCGGCTTAGATGCCGCTCAGTGTGGGCTCAGGGAAGGGCGGGGGCGCCTCATTGAATAGGCAAACATCACCCCACATATTTCCAGTACTTCGACGCAATGAAAGATTGGGGAACGATTCCGCGCAATCAGCCCAGAGAAACGAGAATGTTTGCAGTGCTGTATCCTCGAAACGTATTTTGTATTTTGCTGTAGTGCAGGATAGGTCTCGAAATATTGGCTACGGCATGGCAGAGGATGAGGGCGCTCAATTTTGTGAAGGGTAGGCAGGAACGCTCCACGACACCATGCCGCAACTCTTGCCTTGCACGTCAATGCACGGACTACAGTCGCAAACGAATGGGCGACCATTCAATCGGCAGCGTTTTTGTCGAGTGATGATGATCGCGATATTGGAGGCAATAATGGAACGGCCTTGTTGTACGATGCTATGAGCGGATGCGACAAGCGGACGTAGCGTGTCTTACTTGACAGTAGAAATGTCCAGAAAAGTTGTCGAGGGCTGCCAAAGGATTTGTGGTTAAAGCGCAACCTGGTCAAGCGTCGCTCTGCGCTTGCTAACATTCAGGCTTAAGAAGGAGTCGTTACCATTGACGCCACTTCTGCGAAGTCGCGCTAATCGACGGTCTATTGTCTGTACAAAATTGTCCACGAGGCCATGAAGAGCAGCAGCCGTTCGCCGGTGTCGCTCCTCGCGATTTTCCCCGCACGCACCACCACCATTTACTTCGTCCTCATCCTGCTCGGTCTCGGTTGGGCCACACATCGCCTCGGGCACGCTGAAGCTAAAGGCCTCGAACCATGCGCCGGTAACGCTCGCCGAGCGCTCATCGAGCGACGGCTGCGGGCGGGAGGAGGAGCCCCGCCCCTTGTCGCCCAAGTCGACTGCTAGCGAGTAGACGGTGAGCGGTACGGCAGCCAAGCAGTTGCCCCTTGCATGCTCCATTTCCTTCCCGTCGCTTCCATTGGTCGTCCCGTCGTTGAGAGAGGAGCAGCAGTAAATCGCCGGATACTCGAGCAGCCAACCGGCCATCCCGGAGAGGCCGACGTCGCCCAAGGTTTTAACAAGACTCTCACAGTCCAAAACCAGCTCCTTCATGCTCCAGTCTCGCAGCCAGCGTGCCCCCCCTTCTAGTTCTGATGGCGGCACGCGATGTACGCCGTCGCCCCCACAAAACCTATCCTCCCTGTTGCTCTTCGCCGAGGTCTCCATCGCCGTCGACTCTCTGCTAGTACCTCGTGGTGGTGGCGTTGGTGACGGTCCCCTGGCTCGCCCTTCTTCAACGCTATTCGCGGTGGCCGCTACCGTTGCTCCGCCGAACGCCCAGAGGAGAGCTGCATAGAGTCTTGGAGCGAGAACATCGCTGCGATCACTCGGCACCGCCAGAGCCATGTTCACATCGAGGAGAGCCAAGTCTCGGCGATCGAAGTGTCGCTGATGAGCTGAGGCGGCACCATCCACCGCCGGTCTCACCGCCTCCGTCCCATATCCACTCTTCTTGTCGCAATCGGTGGCACATGTCGCCGACCTCCTGAACCTCTCGTCTACTGGTTCTGCAGCGATGGTTTCACCCGAAAAAAGCTCGTTGAGTCTACGCACAAGCATAACACGGTTGACCAAGAAGCTCGACCCTTCCAAAACGAGCAATCCCAAGCAGGCGACGCCGCCGCTGTTACAATCGCAGTCGGAATGGCAGTCACGAGTCGCGCAATGTTCTTTCTGCTGCTGCCGTTCCTGTTGATCGTGCTGCAGTGCCAGCAGAACGTCTGCTAGCGGAGGACTTCGGCGGGGCGCGCGGCGCGAGTCGAGGAGAACGGCACAACGGACACCGGCCGCGGCAAGGCAGATATCTCCGAACCTGCAGAGGAACGTGGGTGGGCATGGAGTTCCCGAGAGAGTGAACGCTAGTGTGTGCTGTCTCGGGAAGCAGGCAAGACCACGCTACCACGTTCACAACCTACACAGACTTCTCAGGAAGCGTATGTAGGTGGACCTTAAGCTTTTCGTAGAAATGTGCACCGCGTCGCGCATAAGAACACCGCGCGCGTAAGAACAACGCTAGTGTGGGAAGAATTTACCGTGGCCAAAACGTTTGAGAGCGGGATCCACCAGCGACGCTCCAGTCGCCATCATTGGAGTCGACGGCTGCGGCTCGCGGGCGTACTCTGCGACAAGATCGCAGGAAGAGATGGTTCGCGGATCAAGTATGTGGTTCAACATCGACGCTACAATCTGAAAACAGAGAGGGATTTACATTTATGTGCGCAAGCCAAGGTCACCCGATACGTAACAAACTCCCGTTTTTTGCACCCATCGGTACAGTGCAGATATGCTACTGCTGTACGGGGTATGGATGTGAAAACAAAGCCACACGTTGCGTTTTACTTCCAACGGCAGCATCCGATGCGGTCATGTGGTGGTGTTGATGTACAGCAGATGCCCACCCCCGCAACTATTGTATTTGGGAGACGGATTATGTTTGATCTTGGATGCCGCTGGGAATGCAGAATTATAAGCTGTCTACATAACGCCGGTGGCAGAGATGATAACTAGATCACATAGTCTCCGGGGGTAATATTAGGTACATAGTCATCATGACAAGTCCAGAAGTGCAGTACATTGACAAATTACTGAAAAAATGACTTGCCGCGATCAATCCATCCACACACTTGCTCCGGCACACCTTCTTTTATGCTGAGGTGCCACTCCTCGAGCAGCAGCTCGACACGCCCTCTCAAAATCAGCTTCCTCGATAAGCATATGGCTCCAAAGTATTGGACAGGCCAGCAGGATTGCACATCACCAACAACAACCACCACCGCCAGCGCCGACGGCGGCGGACGGCGGACTTGGACATGGACAGCACGTATGCCCTCCTCCCGCAATTTTCAACAGCGGCGCCCCCAACGAACCAAACGCTGAATTGCACCACGCCGCAACTGACCAACACACTCAACGACAAGAGGAAAGAACAGAGAAGGGAAACCTGCTTGCTTGCTGTACCTCGCTCTCTCAGACGGTACCTGTCTGCGCCTCTCTCCGGTCTGCGTGTGGTCTTGCGCGAGACTGTCCGTGGGTAGAAATCGACAGCAACCAAGAGGAGATATCGAAGGCGCAGAGGGGTGGCAGCACGCGGACCAACTCGTGAAGGCTAAGAAGGGAGAGGAAGGAAGAGGCTTGAGACGAGACACGCGAGACAGACAACAAGCAGCCTAGGCTCCCAGGGAGATGGCTCGTAGAAACGCCACGGGCGCGCAACCTCTAGGCAGACGGAAGCGGAAGATAGGATCAGATGCAGACTGCGGCGGCGTCGTGGGGGGGGTGTTCAGGAGGCAAGCCACCGGAGGGAGGGGCAGGAGGCGGAGCACCGGGCAAAGCTTCGTGTTGTCAGCCACCGGGAATTTTCATCGGCGTCTTCGCAGGGATTTGGAAGGGGTGCCAGAGTTGATAGCCGACGTCAGGAAGAGCCTCATATCAGGTGAGCGACGTGTCGGTCATGCTGTAGGCCGTGCAAAAGTACTTTTTTCTTTCTTCGTTCGTCGTGCGGTACATCTGTAGCACCAAAAAAAACTGCTGACGATCCCCCCCCCCCCCGAAAGACTGAAAAATGAAATCCAGATCGCGGAGGTGCTGGAGTCATTTCACGCCCCATGCTACTGCTGTAGTTAAGGAATGTCGATGCGTCGTCGAGGTTAAGAGGCGGATTCTGCGTGTGGGATTGATACAGCTTGGTACCGGCATCTTTGCTTTTTCACGGCCTGCACACACAGCGTCCGTTTTTTTTTTTCTGGGGGGAGGCATCGGGAGTGGTCTCCTTGTACTGTGTAGTACAACAGTCTCTTCGGCTGCACACGCACAGCAGTGTGCACTGCACACTGCTGCTGTGCGGGCGTGTATGCCCTCCAAGAAGTGTGGTGCGGAAAAAACACGTACCTGACATCATCCGAGCGGAAGATTTTCCGCGTTCACACCATATATACTTCATCGTAACGCGGGATGTTTGTTTTTTGTTGGCGAAGATTGTCAGGTGCGCCATCGCCTATATCATCGAACCAATGCATACTTCGTACTTCGAACGCATTCTGAGCAGAGTATTTCTTGCTGAGCGCTCAACACAACCGCTCTGCTGTCCAGCCGCTCGTGGCCGGAGAAAAAGAAACAGACACCGTCTACAGGCCGTGCCCTCACAGCGGTCTGCCGCGACGCCTGTCGTCTTTAACGATAACAACGTTGTCGTGAATCACGGACGGTGGTAACTTCATGTGTCGCACTTTTTTTCTCGTCTTCCCAGGCGCCAACGCAGCCTTGTTTACGGCCGTTATCGAGGTGCGCAGCAAGCTTATCGAAGGCAACAGCGCCCCGTTTGATCTGCCCATACGGTCGACCAACTCCTCGTCGAGAGTTGGAGGTGGGGGCGGAGGTGGGGGCGGGGGCGGGGGCGGGGGTGGGGGCGGCGCGGAGCACAATCACGGGCATCACTACCATGGGGACGATGATGAGGATGACCCGTATGGCCAGAACAGGCGAGTCGTAGAAACAGCTGTTTGCTGTCCCGAGTATTTTTCTCATGGAGTAACAATCCCTTGCATTTTGTTTCTACTGATTTTGTCTCTGACTGTCCGACAAACGTACCGCCGTGGTTTTACTAGCAAAATGCTTTTCTGTGTTGCTTGAGTGTAGACTTCGAATGACTGGCTTCGCCTTGGGTGAGGGAGTTACACGCGGCTGCTGATTGCTGATTGTTGGATTCAGGCGTTTTTGTTGCGGCGAACCATGCCACAAGCTGATGCGTAACAAAATTCGACATGTCACACCAGGGGTGGCAGAGAAGGGCACGCAATAGCAGTGGGTAGGCTTGTGCGAGGGTCTTGCATCCTCAAGCAGATGAGTTTGATGCTCACGGCGAAAGCTAAGTTGTCTCCCCTCTCTCTCCTCCTCTCTCGTTCTTTTGACAAACCTACCTCTGTCATCGGGTCGTCCGTTTTTATCTCACCGCATCGCTGCTGTTTCGACGCACTGCCGTATGACGTGTCCTATGGCCTGCGTTTTCCATGCTGACAACAACAGCTACCGGCAAGTTCGTCGCCTGGACCGAGAGGCCTTCGTGTCGCTGGGAGGGCCGGAGCTTCTCCTTCAGGTAAGGTGCGGGAGCGGAGAGCGAAGAAGGAGCACCGAACCTTGCCGACCGTTGTGGGGCATCACTTTTATGTTGCATGTTGTGTGTGAGTGCGTGCCGATTCTTTGACTGCAAGTGAGGCAGGCCTGGTTCGGCACTCTTGACTTTACGGGGTAAAAAAAAAGCTGTATTCGTGGTTGGGAGGGGGGCAACCAAGGATGTTGTATTACCATGACCATGTCTTAGCTTGGCACCTGCTGTCCTTGCTGCATTCGCCCCGTAAAGCACTGTCAGCATCCTGGCATATACGACAGTGCAGCTTCGACAACCTCCGTCACAGAACCGGCTGCTGCGTTTGTTGCGATATATAGAGAATTTTGAACGCGTTCCCTTCCTTGATGTTGCGACGTGTGGCCATCTTCTGCATAAACACGGCGGTGAGGCAGGTGCTGAAGAGGCCGGGATCCCCCGCGGACGCCCGGTCCATCCCGGCGGCGATCGTGACGCGCGACATGCCGGTGTGGAAAACGACGCTCGTTATCCTGCGGGAGCTGTGCTTCACGGATCAAGACCTGAGCGAGAGGTGCGAAAATACACGTTGCTCGTGGCGTGTTGCTCGCCGCGGCCCCCATGCGTTGATGCCGGAGCTTTTTCCGTGCTCTTTTCCTCCCTCTATTCACGGCAGGGTTGTGTACAGCGGTGGAACCGGGGGGGGGGGCGGGGTTGCGCAGCGTGCAACGCCAGGACCTTGGTGTCGATGGCTGCTGCTGTGTCTTTTCAGGGTGTATGGGGGTGTAAGTTTTCAGTTCGTGGGGCTGCTTGTTCTCCTGGAATTTGCCGCGTTCCAGATTGGTTTCTACGTTAAATACTTTGATTGTGGTGTGCGCCCTTCTGTTGCTTGAATGACACAGGCCGGGTTCAAAAACTGGTGTCTACATCAAACGAGTGTTGTGTGTGTTCACTCTGGGTGTTTTCATTTTGATTGCGGTGTGCGCGCTTCTGTTGGTTGAACCTTTAATGGCGCAGGCTGGGGTCGCCGGAGCTGATCCTGTATCTCCTGACTCTGATGGCGTACCAGGGTGTGTTTGATCTCGCCGTGGGCTTGGTAGAAGAGGTGAGAGGGGCAGTGATAGAGAGAAGAACAGAGAGAGAGGTGGAAGAGTGGGATAAATGTATGTGTCAAGAGAGAGGGCCGCGGAACGTGTCATGGCCAAGAATCTGTGTGCTTTGCGCGGAGAATCGGTTAATCGTTTTTCACTCCTTGGACAGCCTTTTTTGTTCCTGGAATCGAAAGAACAAGGCATTGATTTGTGTTGGTGGACACGTTCTTGGGTGTCGGCACGGCTCAAACAAGCATAAAAGTAATCGAACTTCGGTCCCCTTTGGTACCGCGCGCCCCCAACACTTAACACGGAACAACCGTAAAGACAAACAACCAAATGGTCCTCTATCCTCTCTACGTTGGGTTCGCCAGAACCACGTTATCGGGTGTGTGCCGTCCCACGCTGCAGAGGTGCCCCGAGGGTCTCCGGCAAGAGCACACATTCGGCAAGCATTGCAACCCTCCGGCCCTCTCACCCAACCCCCCAACCCCTCCACGCGCCTCGGTACGTTTCTTGCGGCGTGTTATCCGACCGGCCGGTGCCAGATTCTGGCCGTCAAGTCGAGCACGTACTTCTTGGGCGAGGTCCCCGAGCTGCACTCCCTCGTGGAGAACATGACGAGCCAGCAGCTAGCACACTTCTCGCGGGTGCTGGCGCTGCTGGTGTTCGAACCCGAGTACAGGCAGCTCATGGAGAGCGCTCACGTCCTCAGGTCCGGCGGAGTGGAGGGGAGGGGGGACGCAGGGCATGGGTAGTCGGGGGGGGGGGGAGGGGGGACGCCGTCGGGGTATGGGAGTGGTGTGTTGTCATAAGAACAGTTGAGCTTTTGAAAGCGGATTTAACGGCATGTTCGATGAATCATGTGTCTATGGATTGAACGTAGCCTCGAGACTCATGTTGTTAGTGCGTGCCAGCTCTAAATCCTGCTGCTGTTTTCGGTTGCCGTATCAGGTCGATGGAGCTGTTGCAGCTGCGGCGAGACCGCGTGGTGAGGGCTGACTCGATCATCGACAAGAACCAGGCCCTGATCCTTTCGGCCCCCAGCCTCCTGCCACGCCTCATGGAGCTCCTGAGGGTGATGAACTACAACCCATCCCTGGCTACGTTCGGTGCGATAAAGAACGCGGGGTTTCGTCTTTAGAAATGTGGCGTTGCAAGGAGAGCAACAGCAGACAAAAGGTCTTTATGTAGAGGGTGTTCCCTCCTCCATGGGATCCCATCGGCAGGCCTAGCGCTAATGACTATCTGGTTCTCTGGCGAGAGCGACAAGCATGAAAGTGGCAATTATTTAGCTCGTTACAGAGGTTACTGCAGTTTCACTTGGGACCGATCTGTTTTCTGGCTTGTGGAGTGCTTTTTTCTTGCAAGGGTCGGTTTCGCTTGTTGTTGCTGTCGAGGTCGGCCACCGCAGTTTCTTTGCCGTTATACCCTTCAACCGGCAGCGACAGCAGTAATAGTCAGCGCATCTGTTTTTCATCGCGTCTTGGCGCGGCGCACGAACATAGTGGAGAGCTCTTACGAAGCTTACTATTTCGCGACCTTGCCCCCCCGTGCTTGGCTTCTTCGCGCTCTCACTCGCCTTCCCGACACTCCTCAGACGAGCAGGCCGTAGAGCTTGAGCAGGCGCACATTTCGCAGGTGCGGATAAGCGTTGTGGCGGGTGACGGCACCGCGGAGGGGAGGACCCTGTCTCAGCAGCAGCAGCAGCCGTGGCCGGCAGCGAGCGAGTGGGGGTATCTTGCGGACCTCAGATCGGCCGCTCAGGCGGTACCGGCGGCGGCTTCGGCTGAAACGGGAAGGTGTGGTGCAGACGGGAAGGGTAGGGCTGCCTATAGTAATGGTAGTTGTGCGACGTGGTTCGTCCGGTGGTGTGCTCAAGATGTCAGGAGGTGGGGTTACAGTAGTTTTTCTGTTTGTTTTTTTCCTGTTTCTTGTTTTTTTTTGTCATTTCTTCGACTTTTGCTTTGGGTGCTGCTGCCCGCAAGCGCGCTCATGTGAGTTTTGGTTGGAGTTTTTATTTGGGCTGAAACCGGTTTGAAATCAGTGGCGATAGGTACAGTCGTCGTCGACCTGTCTCCCTTTCTTACGTGCGCTTCTTTCACTCGTGAAAAGCATGTGAGAGTCCATGTCGTACTCGATGTGCTTTCCTGGTCGACGATACGTTCTGAGCCAGCCGTAACGGGTTTCGAGCCCGCGAAAATGTCGCCGTTGCTTCCGCAAGGGTGATTGTCGAGTTTCTTTAAGACATGAGAGTCTCGTTGTGATCAGTAGTCAGACCTTTTGTTCCCGCACGGCACACGAAAATGTAATTCACCCCCCTTTTCTGCTGTCTGCTGTGCCCCCCCCCCCCGTCATCTTGTTTGGTAACACTGCTGTCGTTGTAGCCCCGTCCCTGGAACTGCTGGAGGACAGGCTTCGGCTTCCGAGGACGCGCAGGCAGGAGCCCCCCGAGCGCGCAGCGGCAGCGGCAGCGGCGGCGGCGGCGGCGGCGGCGGCGGTACGGAGCCCAGCCGGATCGCGAATTTCTTTCGGTCCATCTTCCGACGGAGCAACTCTCAGCGAGACGAGCCACCGGCCGCGATCTCCCCGACCGCCACCGTCGCCACGAGTGCGAGCGCCTCCGGTGCCGGGGAAGAAGGCGAAGGTGCACCGGCAGGAGGGGGGAGAAGAACCAGCGCGAGATCCGCGGCGGATGCGGCGGACGCGGCGGCGGAGCATCTCGAGAGGTCGGCGCAGCAGCACAGGGACGCGGCGGGGGCGTGGGGCTCGGCGGTGGAGCGCTTCCAGCGCGCCGCGGCCGGTGGCGGCGGGGGCGCCGCCATTGACATACCCCCGCCACCGCAGCCGCCGGTGGACGCAGGTGACGGCGCCGGCTTTGCGATCCGCGACCTGCTGAACTTCCTGCAGCCGGCGTTCGTTGGTCCGGACCCCGCGGGGACAATCGCGTCCCTGGAGCAGGCGTTGACCTGGGGGGGGATGGGGATGATGGGCCCCGGGGGCGCCGGGGTCGGGCCCGGCGGGGTCCTGGGTGGGCCGATGGGGCGTCCGAGGCTGCGCCAGCCGACGGCGGAGCAGGCTCGGCAGGAGCTGCAGTTCAATGGGCTCATGCTCGCCCCGCACCAGGTGTGAAGGCGGTGTAGGTCGAGCGGTTGGGGGGGGGTTTCTAGAGAAAGTGAAAACAGCTTGATGAAAGAGGGAAAAGCGCCTGTCAGAAGAAGAGGAGTTTCGGGTCTTTGAAGCTTCCCTGGGATAATGACAGTCTGGGGAAGGAGTGAGACATCGTTTACAGTGAACCTTTCTGCTTCTCTCTCGGATCTCTGTTGTTCCGGTTGTTTTATTCCAGGTGGAGGTGCTGTTCGTCCTTTGCACCCTCCTCGGGGCCCGGCGGAAGGGAGAGGCTCACCAGGCCCTCGCCAAGCTCGGCCTTATCGACGTGCTGGACTCGATGTTCGACAGGTTGAGCTGGGGCGTCCCGTCTTCGACCCAGGGCCCCCACGGTGCCCACTGCGACTGCAACCCGGAGTCGGCGCTGCGCGTGCAGTATCTCCGCCTCGTACACAACTTCCTCGACAGGTGAGATAGGGCCCGGGGGGGGGGGGCGTGGGAGGTTAGGGTTAGTGAGACGAGGGGTAGCGTTTGTTGCGGTCGCGAGGAAACGGCGTGTGCGCTGCTAAGGCTTGGATGCGTATGCAGTGGAACAAGCTGCCTCGCTGCCGGGGGATGCTGAGGCAAAGCTGATACTGAGAATATTCTACAATCTGAGCCGCTTTTTTATTTTGCAGAAGCCCAGATGTAGGGCGGCCGAACGGCCGCGCACGAAAATCTTGTCTGCTCTCGAGGGCCCTTGTTAACCAACACACACGCTCCTTTATCACGGCAGGGATTCGAACAACAATCCTCTCAAGGGTCTGCTCTTGTCGGAGCACGAGAGGGCGCTCTTCACCGCCGGTCGGTTCATGCCAAACCCCAACGGGAGCGGAAACGTGGTGTACGTGGAGGTGAGGGCTGGCTGGTTTCGCTCTTGTGCATGCACGGGTGGACGTAGTATACGCGATTTGTTAGTCCAGCGCCAGAGGGATATTTCACTCTTCTTGGCGGTAAACTTACGTTAGAGTCCGTCGGCGTGGGGCGCATGTGCTGCTGAGACGAGGCGGGCCGAAGTGTTGCTCCCACTAAATATGTTTTTCCCGCGAGCAGCAGCATCGTCGTCGTACACAGATCGGCGACCTGTCGCGTGTCCGCTCAACAGATCCGCGCTGAGATGGGGATGACTCGACGTTTGCCTTCACACGGCAAACTTTTGGACACGAAACGGTGGTGTTCCTTTTGGGTTTCACGTTGCTGCTGCTCACGTTTCCATCGCTCAGCTCTTCCCACGCGGCAACTCCTTCCCATTTTATCCTCTTTGGGGCTGACAAATCTATCGGTACTGCTATCGATCGGCGCGTTTTGGGGCTGGGCTCTGGGTCGGGTGTCGACCGGCAGGCTGGGGCACCGGAGTCGGAGGCAAAGCTGGCGTTCGCGTGGCGTGGACGAGCCGCCTCGTCCGCGGTAGAGGACGAAGGGGAGGGCGAGGGGAAGCGGGAGGAGGAGGGGGGCGGAGAGTGGGTAGACACCCGCGGGCTGTTGAGCAAGATCGTGGACGTCTTCATGCGGGAGCCGATGGACAGCCTGTACCGGTTCTGGCTGGCGAGCTGCGTTGAGGCGTTCCTTCGCGGTGGGAGGTGTGTGGTGGCTCTCTCGGCGTCTCTGTGTCTCTCCACGTGTCTGTGCGTGTGTGCTTGTTTTGTTTAGCATCGACTGCGCTAACCGGCTTGACTCGTGGCAAGACAACAGTCTTATTGCGGGATAGAAAACCAGTGGTATGGTTTGAAACGTTTGTTTTTGCGCTTGGCATCGACCGCGCTAACATGCTGATCCATGAAAAGAACGCCAGCGCGTATGTATGCATTCATGCATGCATGCAGTTATTGTGTTTGTCTAATTTTTATTGCATCCCGCGAACCGACGGCCAGTGAGAAGACATGAGTCATATCTATTTAGCGAGACACAATCGAATCGTGAAAGGACACCCTTACGTCCGTGAGCTACCTGTATGTCTGTGTGTGTCTGTGTGTGTGCGCCCATCTTGTTGCCAATAGTCACACTTCAGGGTCAGCCTTTCATGACGCCCCTGAGAAGGGCCAGACTTGACTTCATGAACTAGGTAGCTGATGGGAGTACCTGTTACTGTGGAGCGGGGGGTTGTGCTGCTCTCATGGTGTTTGCTGACACACGTCTTTCAAAGGGGAGCTCTTGCACCAAATTCTGTCATTCTTTTTCTGATTTCTGTCCTTCCGTTCCCAAATGATGTCCTCTCCTCTCCTCTTGGCTGGTTTGGTGTGTTTGGTCGTGTGCAGTACCCAAGAGCAGCTCTTCATCGCGGGCGGCGGGCTTCTCCCGCACCTGGTTAAGGAGATCACTTCGGACGGCATGTGGTGCGCGGGGTCGCTGCAGACTGCCTTCGATCTCCTGGGCGAGCTCTGCAAGGGCAATCGAGACGTGAGTCCCACCACCTAACGGATGTCTGGATCGTTATCGACTGACTTCTACCTACCTCTGTGTTTTCTGTTTGTAGCAGAAGTCGGGGAGGACACCCGGCGGGAAGATCGAGATTCATTCATCTTTGAAATACCCCACAGCAAAGGAGATGAGCTCACGGCGCTGAACCTGGAATGATTCGTTGTCTTGTAAGCGCCCAGTAGCCGCTATGTCGTACGCACGGCAGCATGTATGTGTTAACGTTTTGTGCCGTGAAGACACCAAGTATGGACGAACGTGGATCACAATGCTCAAACCTGACTTGTTGTTTGAACAAGCCGTGGCGGGTTGCAAGGCGTATGTAGTCAGCGCCGCGCTCTCCAATGCCTCACCGCTGAACGAAACGTGAGCACGCGTGGGGTGAGCTCACCCTGGGTGTGGCGCTCTGGAAGACGGAGCAGCTCCTGTGGACTCCCAGCTGCTGTCAGCCGGGTATTGGTTGAATCAACAGCTGTGGCACAGGCACGACCCTTACCCCCCCCCCCCCGCGCGCGCGCCGCCCCCCCTGATCGCCCGGTGCTCCAGATTCTTGGAATGCTAGAGGCGAGCATGACGGAGAAGCAGCTGCGACGGTTCCTGGGGGTGATGGTGGACAACCTCGTGGACAGCAATGTGTTCATGCGGTCTCTGGTTCTGTCGGTGGAGCAGACTAGCGCGGCCCGGCAAGAGTTGCGGACGGCGGAAGAGGAGGAGAGCGACGGAGAGTCGGGTGTAGGCCCGGCAGCGGCATCGAGAACCGCAGACCGGCAAGGAGAGGGCGACGGGGAGAGCCCCGTTCACGAGTGTGGCGGCGGTGGTGGTGGTGGTGGTGCTCGGGTTGAACAGGATGAAGAAGAGCCGTGCTATCTCGGACACACTTGGTACGACGTACAGCCGCGGGAGGTGCTGTTGCAGGAGGACAGCGAGGATAGACATACGAGTGAGTTCAACGAGGCCGCAGAAGGGGCGGAGGTAGCCCCGCGGAAGGCGGCGGCGGCGGCGACGGCGGAGGGGGCTGGGAGCAGCAAGGCTAACGGGGAGATGACGCGGTTGCAGCGCTTTCTGATGCAGAACACCCCTCAGTTGGTGCGGGATCTTATGTGCGTCGTGAGCCTCGAGACGATAAACCACGAGAACATTTGCTGCCTCAACACGGCCGTGCTCATCCTCATCTTCGCGGACCGGCGCGGGCAGTTGGCGGAGGTGAGGTTGTGTTGCGTGAGATGGAGACAAAGATTGAGACGGAGACAGACTGACAGATAGAAACAGAGAGACAGCGAGCCAGAGAGAGAGACAGAGAGAGGTTAAGGATGATCACAGGCGGTTGTGTGTATGCATCCCTCGGTCGTATGTACCTTACGTGGTGTAAGATATCACGCCCCCTGGGCCGATCATCGACTATTTATCGACTACTCTGTTGTCGCACGTTTAGCACTGTCCTCCGGCTTGAACGCAAGGGTGGTGGCCTGGTTGTTCGTCTCCAACCTCCAACGCGCCCGCATGCTGCCTCGCGATCCTTCCTCCCGATCAGGTGCTGGAGGCGGTGCGGAAACTCCCGGCCGGAAGAGGCGTGTCGAAAGAGGCAGAGATTGACTCGGAGTTCGACCTTGATGGTGACAAGGCCAGGGACGGGGGAAAAGAGGGACTGGCCTGGCCGTCAAGCGTCGCTAAAAGCGGGGGGGATGGATGCAACAGCGGTGGCGGCGGCGGCGGCGGCGGTGGCGGTGGAGGCGGCTGCTGCCACCACCACCCCGTTACTGGCCCGGCAGACGACGGCGGCGGCGGCAGCGAGTCGCCGGCAAAAGAAGGGGCGGCCGTGCTTGAAGGCTTCCGGCGATTGCTGTGGTTCTGGAGTGAGTTGTTTTTGGTTGTTGTTGCTGTTGTTGTTTTTTGGCGATCTGGAGTTTCTCGCTGGCGGCCACGGCAGCGAGGGGAACCCTGTGCAGTGTACACGGGAGGGGAGGCAAGCATACCCTTACCCTTGGCCGAAAATAGTTTTGCATGCTTCATCGCCCGAATGAAATGTCACCACCGCCACTAGCCCCCAAGGAAGCGACGTTAGAGGTCTCTTCGTTGCCGTTGCTACCAAAGCACACACATTTCGTTGCCTACTGAAGGCTGAGGTCTGTACCGTTGCGATTTCCTTGCCAATTGCAGCTATGATAGGCAGCATTGGAAACTGTGATGAAATCAATCCCGTGATCGTAAATCGGAGACTGCATGTGTTCTCACGGATCACCATACATATGTGCCGCTTCCGCTGGAAATTTCCTGTTTCAGGCGAGTACTACCTCCGCGGGGGACGGGACCGCCTGAGCCTCGAGTTCTCCACCCACGTCAAGTTCTGGGCTTGGAAGAGGGTGGTTCGGCTGCTCTGCGCCGACGACGGCAGCCCCACGGCGCTCGTCGGGGCGCCCCTGAGGCTTCCGCGCTCGCCGTACGACACAGTACTGCGACAATCTCCTCCCTCTTTGCCGAAGCAGCAACATGCACAAGAGCATGACGAGCAGTAGCACCACCAGCTATTATTTTGTTCTTTTGCGATTGGTTGTATACTCGGTCGTCGGGTGTAATTCAGCCGTATGTTTTTTTTAGGCCCCCAGCGTAGAAAAAGAGAACGAATGGAGTTTTTTTTTGTCGTTGTTTTTTGCCTTGTCTGCTTTTGTTTGAGGTCGTGGTTTTTGGAGAGGTCCCCAAGGCGAGAGAGAGGATCGCGGTGCCGGTTTGGCTCAAATGTTTGCATTGTGGCGCGTTCGGCATGGGCCGAACTATTGACACCGCGGTGTTGGTACTGCTGCTTTGCGTGTCACCGGGAAGGGGAGGGAGGTGGATGTCGTTACATAGGGCTCGTTTCTGATCGCGCTTGTGTACATCGCATTTTTTTCACGGAGACGATGCGGCCAAAAAAAATGCGACAGTGCTATTGCTGTTGTTGTAGGATACCGTGCTTTTGTTTACAGCTCATGCCCGCCCTGCTGTTCGTTGTCTTGTGTGACCCGGGATGGGAGCTAAGAATATTGCCAGGGGCAGTGAGAGAATATACCGCTATACGTCGTGTTGTGAGCTGATGGCAATTTTGGAGCGGAGCGTATTTCTAACCGTGAAGGAGGTCGTGTGTTTTTCACATGTGTCTATGCAATGAACATCATGTTGTTCATTTTTTGTTTTGGAGGAACTTTTTTTTCCTCGCTGCGCTCGGTCGTATAGGGGTGGTACTTGGGTCGAATTTGGGGAAATCGTTCCCCCCCCCCCCGTTGTCTCTACCCTTGCGATGTGTGCTTAGACTACGTGTTTCGTTGCGTTGCGTTGTTCATCCCCCCGCCCGGCTATTGTTGAAGTGCTCGTTTGAGTCGAATATAATTCGTAGAATCGTGCGGTTGGCCTGTTTGATGACTGCTGTCAAGCACGGAAGGAGCAACAAGCTCTCTCCCAATGTTACCCCGCTGATGATACCGACTGCTGTAATGACTCTACACATTATGCGTGATCCCGTCCCAAGGTGACGGGGCGTCACTCTGGCTCCACCAGTATACACCAGTTCACTGTTAGTGTGCGCACGGGCTTGTTGTTTTTGGAAGTGGGCACATGTCGAGGAACTAATGCGCTTGGACTCAAACCACACGGTGATGTGAGGCAGATTACGGAGGTCAAGTTGAGGGTAGTCATAAGTGTGTAACAGGGAGAGCCGGCTCACTCCTGTGTGTGTTTGGGGTGTGTGTATTCTGACGGGTTAGTATAGTATCGCGTACAAGCTAACTGGTAACCACCTCTCTACTTCGTGGCATCTCGGGTGCTTGTTGCGCTGCTTTTTTCAAAGAGAATCCCTCTCCCCCCTTCTGTCTCTCCCTCTCGCTCTCTGCCGAGACACGAACACAACAGCACCTCACTCATGAGCAACGCGGACAAATCGATGGGCGCATATATATGAGGTGTGAATAGATTCCAAATTCCGTGCGCCACGCACGGAGCAAGTTAATTGGATAGACCACAATCCCCAGATCCATCCACACACAGCCCACAGACGACGGAAGTGCGTGTTGGATGATCCAATAGAGGAGTAGACAGGAAAGAGGGAGAGAAAGAGAGACAAGGACAGAGGGATGGATGCCTACATGCATCCAAGCATTCAAGCAAGCAGCACGCATGAGACTCCCAGGTCTCGTCTGCCGCTTCCCAACCAATCCCAACGGCCAACAAGCAGCATGCACACATTGCACCCAGTTTTGGACGCCCTGCGAACCTCTTGGAGATCCCGTCTCGTGTTTTTTTTTTTTGACGCCGCACCTGGTTGCCGCCCACATTCAACCTTCAACATTCCAAATCGCTTTTTGCTTTCCTCTCGCATCCAAAAGGCGGGCTCGTCTAAACTTCCTGGCTGGCTGCTTGCACCCACCGTGCCGACGAAGGTAAGCAAGTCGCAGGCGATACATGGTGCTTCGGGAATCACAGCCCAGATCTTTTGGCTCCAACTCAAAAGTGCTTTCATGACAAAACCTCCCGCTTGGTCATCTTTGTTCTTCAGGCCCCATTGTTCAGACTTGAGAGTGTGCTGCTTCGGCCGAGCTCCGGAGCACACGAGTTGGCAGCTAGAGTTCAACCCTCAGTTGGTAGGAGACACATGCCTTTCCGCGTTGTGAGGCTTTTCGAATCACGCGATCCTCTCGATCCCACGTATCCGAGCATGCTTGGTGATCTTAGGCGCCGGCGTGCCCAGCATGAAAGGGCCGCCGGTGGTATGCATGTAGGACATAGACTAATGAGCCGAGTCGCCGGAGCGGCCGGACGCCGTGTGTTGCTCGAAGATGTGATGCCTGCTGAAGCACGTCATGCGTTGCTGCATAGGACGTTAAACGTATGGAACTAGGGTGTATAATAGGCAAGCGTTTTCTCTGGACATGTGTCTGCAGGCCACTGCTGCTGCTGGTGTTGTATGCACAACGAACGGGGGCTAATGTTTTTCAGCGCCAACACCGACGCTTTCGAAATGGTGTTTCATGTTCTTCAATAGACCCGCAGCAGCCGCAGCCGATCCGCCTCTCCACCGCCGTTACCCCCACACACGTACTCCCCTACTTTTTGACCTCTCTCTCTCTCTCTCTCTCTCTCTCTCTCTCTCTCTCTCTCTCTCTCTCTCTCTCTCTCTCTCTCTCTCAGCAGCGGAAGGAGACGCACCCACAACCATGCTGAGAGGAATCTGCACAAGGAGCCAACTCAGAGGCCTGCCGCTCCGCGGGTGCTCCGCTAATGCGTGCCGAACAGCAGCGGGGCCTCTGGGCGGGAGCCGCGGAAGCGCCCTGAAGCTGCAGCAGCGCTGGGAGAGCTCCTCGGTGTCGGATGTGCCCAAGGCCGCCACAGCGGTGAGGTGTTGTGATTTCGTGCGTTCTTACGTGCAGGTTTTTGTTCGCGCCTCATCATGTGTTGCTTTCGGCGGATGGGGGCAGGGGGGGGTGACCACGGAGGCTAGGTTACACCTGGTGACACACACATGGACAGGCTCGTTTTCGATGGAAAGTTGGGGAACTCTGCTGGGTGGGATCGGGACCGCACTGCTCTCTTGGACGGTCGTCGGAGTGCTTATGATCGCGGCAGTGGAAACGCGATGCTGCATGTTGAAGTTACAGGTGTTACCGTTGCTGAAAGCCTTTTCATGGTGGCCGGGTTACGATGTGTCTGCAGTCTGCAGTGTGCTCGTGGTTTCGCCGCTGCGCTGTGTCTGGCTGCGAACGGCCGAGCACAACGGGTAAGTTTGAGTGCCGGTGCATCGGCGCCGAACATCTGTTGTATATGCATATGGTAATATCGAGGGCTGGAGTGAATTGGCTTGGTATACCAGATGTTCAGATAGATGAGATACGACCGCGGTTGTACGGTACACGAGCGGGATCTTTAACACATTGCGGCGAGATTAATCCTTGGATTCCACCGCCTGGGCCACAGGGAATGGTAGTGAAAAGGCCGTCAGCCGGGTGCCAAGACTTAAGTTTCTGGACAATTTTCGGAACGAACCTCGTATTGGAGTTGACCTGTTTTCGAGGGAGGAGTGATCCGAGCGCGTCGCTATTTTAGTCACTCGACAAACAAACTGGTAAAACAGGTACCAGGTACAGAGCAGGCTGGGAGCGCCCTGACAAGGATGTAAGTTATGCAATTGTCGATTGAAACGTCGGATCGAGGTTGCGCCGCTATCTCAACATTGGTCCTGTTTGGAGGAGTAGGAAGCTTTCGCGAAGAATCGCCCGCCCCGAGATGACGGGACTCCGCGGGATGATTTGTAGTCTTTCCAGTTTTGCGGTGTTGGCCGGATCACTCTCGGCACCCTGTTATCAGCTCTAGCAGATCGTAGCCTACCCTTTTATAGGCTACTCTCAACAAAACACAACATGTGTAATTTCTTATTTCACCGCACACATGCACTCGTCCTTTCTATCGGGGTGGTGTGATTCGTGACGAAGGATGTAGCCCTCCGCCTCTCTCAGCACTCGATCTTATTTACCGTTATTTCCCTCCCTCACTTCCTTGCCACCCGCTTCCGAAACAAACGCACGTGTGCGCACGACACCCCTTAAAAACAACAACAATAAAATATGCAATAAAATATGCAAGGCCATCCCGTACTCGGAGATGAGCGTCGGCGTGCCCAAGGAGATCACGCCGCTGGAGAAGAGGGTGGCGCAGACCCCGGACACCGTCGCCAAGCTCGTCAAGCTGGGCATCACGGTTAACGTAGAGGCCGGGGCCGGGGAAGCGTCAAAGTGCTCGGACAAGGGGTACGAGGCGGCGGGGGCGAACATCGTCGGGAAGGACAAGGTGCGTTTTTTTTTTCCTTCAGCAGCAGGGCGCTCGAGGTTTTCTTCTTTTGTTGTTGTTGTTTTTTTGCGTTGGCTATGACTTGCTTCTTGCCGGAGAGACACCTCCCAGCAGTCGGATGCTCTCCATGACGGCGGATGGCGGGGCGGAGAGGAGATAGAAAGGGGTGCACGCGCTGTGTGTGTGTGTGTGTATGCGGGTGAATTCCAGACTAGACAGAGAGAGAGAGAGAGAGAGAGAGAGAGAGAGGGGACGACAAAGAGAGCAGTTGTTTGGTATGGGAACTGGATAAGTCGGGAAACAAGACCCCCCAAAATATGCAGAAAAGTCTTCTGCTTCCCGACCAAAACACACGTGGCCAGTTTGGCGAAATGTCTCAAGAGTACAGCAGCGGGAGGCCAAACTAGTCCATCAGCACAAGATATGCCCTCCCCCGCTTCATCCCCACCCTCGCCGGTATGTTTTTCCCTCTCGCTTCCTCCAATCTCTTTGTTCTTTTCTCCGCTACAACTACCGTACCGCATGTGTCATGTGTCATGTGCCATGCGTGTCTTTTCACTCAGGTATGGAAGTCTGACCTGGTGATGAAGGTCAACCCGCCTACGACGGAGGAGGCGGCGCTGCTCGAGTCCAGGGCCATCATGTCGCTCTTCTGGCCCGCGCAGAACAAGGAGCTGCTGGAGCAGATGGCCAAGCAGGGCGCGACGGTGCTGGCCATGGACCAGCTTCCCAGAACTCTCAGCCGAGGGCAGGTAGACCGAGGGCAGGCTCCTACTTTTGTGACGGTTCCTCCCGTGCGGTGGTGTTTCTGCGATTGTACTGCGACAACAATAATTTCATCCCGTGCGGCGGTTGCGTGATTTGTTCTACTACTGCAACAACATCCCGTGCGGTTGTGTGATCTATTTGTTGTTCTTGTGTTGTTGTGCGGGTGACACTCTTCTGTTGTTCGTCGTGAGGTCCTGCCGGTGGAGGTGTTTTTGTTTTCCTGGCGGGCTAGTGCGGGACGGGGGTTCCTACTACTGCCTGTCCCGTATGGATGCCGCTATGTATGCAAAGCGGAGCGCGGATGTTGATGAGGGTTCCGGATGCTTGCTTTCCTTGCTGTTCATGCGTGTAAGATTCATGGCTCTGCTTATGCCTCTCTAGCCGGGAACCGACCCACCTGCGGCATTCTACGCACAACGTTGAGACGAATCCAGGAATTCAATGTATCCACTCTTGAACGTACATGTCGTACGCTCCCCCACCCTCCCTCCCTACCCAATCACGGACGTCCTTGGTTTGATCACTTTGCTTTGGGTCTACCTCGCAGTCCTTTGATGTGCTGAGCTCGCAAGCCAACATCGCGGGATACCGGGCCGTGTTGGAGGCGGCTCACCACTTCGACAGGTTCTTCGCGGGGCAGACTACGGCGGCCGGACGTATCCCCCCTGCTAAGGTGTGTATGATAGGTAGATAGCTTCGGGAGAGAGGACAGCAGAATTGGAAATACGGCGGGAGGAACTAGGAGGAAGGAGTTGACAGGTGGATGTATGCACGAACACGCTTATTTCGCCCGGTATTGATAGGCAGCTGAGGCTGACTCAATTTCTTTTATGAAGAGAGAGATGGGCAGACAGACAAGACAGACAATAATCAACGACCAACCCTAGAGCGAGCTATCTCGGCGTTGGCAGCGCTAAGTGTCTTGGTGGTGCGAGCAATGCGCCCAACTTCGGCCCCAGATTTGGACGGTGGTGTGGTGCACGGAGTTGGGCCAGGCTCATTGAGAGGTAAGGAGGCAGAGGGTACGGCGTACTTGGTGGCGGTGCCCCTTGGTGCTCAAAGCATTATTATAGTGCATACAATCACATGGCTAGGACTTGTTCAACGTGGTGGGGGGCGAGCAGTGCTCTCCTCCCAAGGGTTTGCTACAAATGGGCACCCCACGTACAAGCGATTTATCCCCTTTCTCCACTCGTCGGTTTCTAGATTTCCAAAGCAAACACGGTTGAAAACGTAGCACGAATGGCTTCCGTATAATAGGTCCAACAAACAGGAGTGCCCACCCATTTTCCCTGCCCCCGACATCTACCTTCACGTCGCTTTCTCTTGCGACACGCGTGCGTCCATCCCCCCGCCGCCGCTTGCAGATGCACGGTGATTACCCATTAACAACCCACACCACTTTTTTTTTTTTTTGTAAGGTGCTCGTCCTCGGGGGCGGAGTGGCGGGCCTCGCGGCCGTGCAGGCGGCCAAGAACATGGGGGCGGTGGTGAAGGCGTTCGACGTCAGGCCGGCCGTGAAGGAGCAGATCGAGTCACTCGGCGGGGAATTCCTAGAGGTCGATCTCCAAGTGAGTGCTAACATGCTATTTAGGCTTTCAGGTGGCATGGAATCGGGGAGTTCCTGGGGGTGAATCTCGACGTGAATGCTAACGCTACACTGCCGGGTAGGTACGATAGCATCCGTTTTTGTTTGGTGGGTAAATTTTGCTTTCTCCCTATGTATTTGCTTCTAGATATCATCGAAGGACCAGGAGCAGTGAGTCCTCGTCGCAGAGCTCTTGTAGTTCAACATGCACCAGCGTCATTCGCAGGGGAGAGAAGGGCAGAGGGGAAGTAATGCCATGGTTTATGGTGGTGGCGAGTGGCGGGGCAGGGGAGGGGGGGGGGGGAGCGTACTCTTATGTTTTGCATGCCTTAGCGGTTAGACCATTGACCACGCGTCCTCGAGAGTACGGAGCATGGTTCCCACAGGACCGATCACCGATGGCCAATCGTTCCTTCCTACTTTGCCAAAGGTGGCTCAAGAATGTCTTCCCTAGTCTGTCTATCCTAACGATATCCCTTCCCGCCTTTTCAAACCACTTCCTACTCTCCAGCACAGATACCGTCCTCTCCTCTCTATTCCATGCCTCAAACATCTCCCTGTACGTCCCTTGTATATTTCCCAGCTCAGTCATGTACACTTCCCTCTCCGTATTGTACAGCCGACATTCCGCGACTACATGAACACGGTCTTCGCATTCGAAGCCGCAATCATATTTGAACTTGTCGTCTTCGTGGTGGGGGGGGCGAGTTGAAAACCAAACTATGCATCTGGTGGAGGAAGAGAACATAGAAGCGTTCCTTTTCTTGGAGACGGACGTAAACGTGGCGGGAGATTTTCATATCAAGGAGAGAGTGCAGGTTGGCTTTGATTGTCGAGGCGACACGGTTGGGCTGCGAAACGACTCATATTTTATTAACACCTTTCCGCTTTGTGTGGTACGAAGGTTGATACGCTGTTTTTGTCAAACTCCCCTTTTCAAATTCTCTTCTCCTCTCTCCCCCCCCCCCCTCCCTCCCCTATCTCCCTCCCTCCCTCCTCTCCCTCTTCTTCTCCCTCTTCTCCTCGCCGTCTTTTTTGGGTTTTTCCAGGAGGACGGATCGGGGGCCGGCGGTTACGCCAAGGAGATGTCGAAGGAGTGGTTCCAGGCGGCAGAGCGCATGCTGGCGGCGGAGATGAAGGGCATCGACGTCGTTATCGGTACGGCGCTCATACCGGGGAGGCCGGCGCCTCGTCTCATCACGGAGGTATATACAGGGCAGGGATGGGGTGGGTGGGGGTAGACACGCGCGGGGGGGGGGGGGGGGGGAATCTTTTGGTTTGGGTGGCTTAAGGGGTAAAACCTTTGCCCCCCGCCCCCCAAAGGGAGGGAAATTTTTTCCCCAGGAACCAAAACCGAAGGGCAAACCTTCCTTTCCAATTGGGCAAAAGGGGGCCAAAAAAGGTTTCCCCAATTTGGTTATCCCAACCAAGTTCCTTTCCCCCTTTTTAAAACACTTTTTAACCCCCCGAAACCGCACCGGCCCCCCCCCCCTATTTCCTGGCCCAAAAAATTCCCCGGAAGTCCCCTGGATTTTTCCCCGCCCAAACATGGAAACTTTCCCCCCCTTTTTTGAACACGGAAATTTCCCGAAAAAAAGAAAACTGGTTTTCCATTTCAAACCCCCAACCCATTTTAAATTTGGGGCCTCCCCCGCCAACCGCCCAAGTCTTCCCCCAAATTTGCGAAAGGCCATTTCCCCCGGCCCGGCATTTAACCTAAAATTTTTCCCCGCCCCCCTTGGGCCCTGGGGGGAAACCTTGGAACCCATTTCTTTTTTTA